GAAGAAGAGTGAGTGGCACTGTGATCAGCAGGAGGGAGCAGGGCTGACCCTGGCAGAGTTGCAACAGAGCCAGGGCCTGGTGTGGCGGAAGCTGCCAGGCTGGGCAGGCCGGTGGTAGCAGCTGGGCTGGGAGGATGGCCTCCCCGGGCGGCCTTCCCCTACGGAAGCAAGTGGAGGAGGCCACAGAGGTTTCACAACCCAGGAAATGGGCTCAGCAAGAAGAGCAGGAGGTGGGGGAGGGGAAGGTTAGCGAGACCCTGCCAAGGCTCCCCACCAGGGCCTGTGCCCCAGCCCTTATGTGGCCTGTCCTGGGAGGAGGACCAGCTATGGTCTCAGGTCATGGCCAAGTCCCAGAGCAGGAGATGCTCCCCACACCTGCTCCTCCCCCGACAGGCACCTCATCCCCCAGCCAGGGCTCCTTCTTGCCCCCCCCACCCCCACATCAACCACTGCCTAGACTTTCTCCCTTTCCCCAGGGACCCCGCCCTCCTGTCACCGCTCCTGGCTCCTCCCTACTCATTCTCCCCACGGCTTGGAACCTCCTGGCCTCAGCCTGACCTTGGAGAAAGCCCGCGTGCCTCAGCCTGCCCCTGGCCTGTGCCCACCTTAGATTTCACCTCTGGCCACTCTGAATACGTGGCCCACTTTCAGGCCTTCCTGTTTTTGCATATGCAGTTCCCTCAGCCAGAAGCTTGCTGGTTTTATTTTTCCCCTTTAACAAAATTATTATCAAACAATTTACACATGGTTGTAGAAAAATTAGAAAATGCATTCCTGTTCCTGGTGGTGCCACCCCTCAGGCTCTGTCCCCCACCCCGCCTCCTTTGCTGGAACACACTCACGTGCACATGTCCGGATGTGCAATGTGCATACTTGTCCTCTGTGTCCTGGGAGCTCCAACCAGTCCCTCTGGTCAGCTCAACGTCAGCCTTGCCCACTGCCCCAGACTGGCTAGGAGCAGGTTTCCGTCGCCCCGAGTAGGTGCATGCCTATTCTGGCCCAGCTGAGCACTACCTCCCATTCCCTTTGAGCTGCTGGTCTAGGGCAGGTTGGGGAGCAGGGCCAGTGAGCCTTTATCCCCTACGACCAGAATCTAGTATGGCCAAGCCTTCCCTGTTTTGAGAACCGGAAGCTGGTCCAAGCAGCTGGGACAGGAGGGAAGGCAGCAGTTCAGGGGCCTGTACCACCCTTGTCCTATAGAAGGGGGTGGTCCTCACAGTCAGGCCTAGGACCTGCCTGCAGGGGGTTGGGTGGATAGACTGTGATCAAGCACAGGGGACCTGTCTCCTGGTGTCCTCACCTCTGTTTCTCTGTCCTCGTGAATGTGTTGTGTGTGCTGCTCCTGGCACATTTATTTCTCTACTTCTGCCCCCTCATCTCTTCTTTCTGACATGGCACACTGTGGGCCAAAACATTGGGCATGCCTGGATTCAAATCCTCCTTCCACCACTACTGGCTGTGTAATCTTGGGTAAATCACTTAGCCTCTTTGAGCCTTGTTTTTTTTTCCAGTCAAATACCCATCTCCTGGACCTGACAGGGGTAGACTATCTAGTGCCATCATAATAAGGTTGATCTAGTGCATTATTGGCCTCAGAAAATGATGATCTTTCTTATAAGTGGGGCTTGAGATTTGCACTGAGGCCCTTGACTCCAAGTCCAGTGCTCTCTACTTCACTGGGCTGCCTTTGCCATGGGCTGAAGAAGCAGCAGAATAGAGACTAGGAGCCCACAGGCTGCTGGGAAAGGCCTGGCTGGCCTCAGCTGGCTCCAAGGAGCTGGTCCCTATGGAGCCCTGTGTGGGGTCCAGCCCCTGCCACCTCCATGGCGCTGCAGAGTGGTGATGAGGCTGAGCCAGCAGCCTTCCTCTGAGGCCTGTGAGCCTGGGCCTATTTGCATGGGGCTATAAATAGTTGGCACACCTTGCTTTTGTGCCGTTAATTTACCCCCTGGCCTTCCCACCAGTGTTCAGACGCTCTGTGAGGTAGGTGGGTGACTCTGGCTCCACTGTGCCTGGGGGACTGGTGTGCAAGGACCCAGGACCTCTCAGAGTCACACACTGATGGAAGGAGATACCAGCTCACGATGTCTCTCTCTCCCCTGGGGTCCAGGCAGTACAGTTGGGGTAGAAGAGGTGGTAGAGCATGGCAGGACCCATATTCTAGTTTTAGTCCTAGGAGGTTGGGACGAGGTGACCTAACCCTAGGGTTACTACCAGAGATCCCCAGCAGGTCTCCCTCCTTGTGGCACTGCGGCCTGGCGGTACAGGTTTGGGGCCGGGGCCCACTGTGGTTGTGGTTTTCCCCTGGTGGCTTCTAGCTAACTGTGAGCAGCAGCTGCTCTGAGTGTGGCTACAGAGAGCTGGAGGCTCTGCCTCTCCCTCCCGGGGCTTCTCTGACACTCCCACTCTCCCCTCCTCCACGTAACCCCGGTGTTCCCCAAGGACGGCTCCTGCCAGGCCACCTGGAGGCAGGGGAAGTCATGAAGTCTGTGGGCCATCTGGGCTGGGCCCCAAGGGGAGGCAGTGGGGAAGAGGAGCTGCTGGCAGATGTTTGGCACACTCGCTGCTGTGGGTGAGTAGCTCTGTGTTCCTGGAGACTTGGGTGCCCTATCTGAGAAGTGGGCTCAGTTGTTAGGACTATCTTCCCAGGCTGGTGGGCAGGTGGGATAGATGCAGTGGGGGGTGTGAGTGTGCTTGGCAAACTGAGAAGGGAGATGCACAGGTAAGAAGTGGGTGCTGCAAGCAAGAAGGGGTGATAGCATTAAAGGGAGCCCACCCCGGGGCCTGTAGGGCTGATGTTGGCTCTCCTACATGAGCTCTTATCATGATAGCCCCCCACCAAGGGACCTTTCCTCATCTGAAGATGGGGGCTGACTGAGACTCAAAGCTGCCAAGTGTCCTGCATGGAGTCCCACAGCCAGGGCAGCATTGGTGTTGGGGTGTTGCTACCAGGGGCTGCCCTGACCTCCTCTCCAGGAGCCAAGCCCCTTGCAGCACAACTACTCTCCTTTTGGGGCTGCCCACATTCCCACTCAGCCCTCATCCTCTGAGACACGCAGAACTCCAGTTGTTGCCCACCTGGGTCTCGAGGTTATTGCCCCCCCTGGGTTTCAAGGCTCTCTTGTTAGGATGCATGAGGCTCAGGCCCAGGGCATGTGGATGCAGACATGTAGCAAGTATATGCTGTGCAGGGAGGGGCCCTGCTGATCCTTCTGGACTCCCAGGGAGCACTCACCTGGGTGCTCCAGACATTGGACCCTGGGCTAGGCAAGGCGGCAGGAGAGCACGATGTCCTTTTTGCCTGGGGGTTTGGGACACTCACCCAGGCACCTACACCCACTCCCAGCTAGGCCCACGCAGCTCACCCTTCACTTCAGCATTGCCCGGGCGCCCACCATGTCCTCGCAGGCACACACAGCTCTGCAGCTGTGCAGTCACACCCACTTGTACCCTCACACACACTAACACACACTCATGCGTGCTCTGGCCCAGGGAGGAGTCAGCAGCAGCCCACAGCTGGCTCTCCCTCCCTTCTACCAAGAGATCATGGTGGCTGGCCTGGCTGGGCTCAGGATGAAGGCTTTTTGGGGCCTGGGCTCAGATGCGAGTTCGCACACCCACTCTCACTCCCTCTGAGTAGGAGCCAGGCCCAGGCATGGGACATGATGGCGTCTGCCCCTACTGGTCCCTCCCCTCTGCTCTGGCTGCTGGCCTCAGAGGACTGGCCAGGCCACTGGGCTGGGCCGTAGGCTGAGGTCAGTGTTTCCTGTGAGCTCATCTGGGCTGGGAGCTCCCAGCAGACAAGGCTGCTGCTCTGGCTGCCTTGTGGAGGAGCCAAGGGAGCTGTCCCTGGGCGGGGTGGCTGCTGCATGTGTGTACATACATGTGCATGGGTAGGGCTTAGTGTCTGAGTCTGCCACTCTGCCAGCAGGATGTTCAGGATGGAGTATGAGTACATATGTATGTGCACATACATGAGTGAGCGTTTCTTCAACCAGGGTTCTGGAACACCCACCTGTGTGGGGCCTAGACCCGGAGCCACTGTCCAAGTAGATGTATAAGTGTGCAAGCATGGGCTTGCACATGTGAGCATCCTTCATGAGTGACAGCCCGGAAGACCCTCAGGGTCATCTCCCGTGAATTGAGGAACGTGAGGAATGGGGGAGCGTGGGGCCAACCTGTGTGGTTTAAAAAACAAATTCAGCATTACATTGAGCATTGAAATAGTTTTATATTTGGAAAATAATTTGTTTGAAAGTGCAGGCAGACTTCCGGGAAGGCAAGAGGCCCCTGACCCCAAGGGGCTCTGATTCAGCAGGGTCAGGCACACTGATATGGGCGGGCCTTCCACTGCGCTGGCCTCTGAATCAGTGGAATCCCAGCTTTAGGTTCTGGCTTGGCCTCAGAGTGTCAGTGTCCCTGTCTGAAAAGTGGGGGTGGTCATTTTGGCCCTGCTTGTCTACCTGGGTATTTAGGAGCAAAATTTTGAAAATCAAGCAGGGCTGTGGGGGTCTGGGTGTGGGAAGGAGGGGGCGCTGCCCTTCACATCTTGGCCAGCACATGCTGGGTACCAGGCACATAGTAGTAGATGTGTTCAGCTGGTATTAAAGGAGGCGTTGAATGACTTTGCAAAAGAACAGCTGGGGAGTCACAGACTCAGATGCCCCCAGGGCCCAGGTAGGTTTTGGAGACACATGAAAGAGGGTCCCTGCCTGGAGTGGACTGGCAGGGGTGCCCAACCAGGGGGCCATGCCAGCCAGCTCTCACCCGATATCCCATCTTCTAGTTTTACCAAGGATGCCACAAGTCTTGACTTAAATAAAACCTCTCAATTTTAACATTGTCAGCTGGGACTAGTGCATTCTAAGCACCATGTGGGCCAAACTGAATGCTTGGAGAGCCCTGGAGAGAGTGGATACCTGACCACCTTTCAGGGCTGTTCCCGCTGGCCCTGCCCTGCTTCCAGCCTCACCCCTTCTTTCTACACAACCCCACCGCAGGCCCCAACATGGCACCATTCCTGCGCATCGCCTTCAACTCCTATGAGCTGGGCTCCCTGGAGGCCACGGATGAGGCGAACCCGCCCTTCTGTGCTGTGAAGATGAAGGAGGCACTCAGCACAGGTAGGGCTGGAGGCTGAACCTTGGAGAGGTGGCAGCGGCCCGTGGGGCTGGGAGTCCAGGCCCAGTGGGAGGCAGTGGCCGTGGCAGGGCTTGTTCCCCCAGAACCTCTTTGGGATCCTACTCTTCCTCATTCCCTGCCCGGCCCAGCTATGGATGCAGGACAGCAGAGGCCACCGAGTACCCACAGGGCCTCCAGCACTGGCTGCATGGACCCCCTCACTGGGGCTCGGGGCTCTGGCTCCTCCCCTGTTGGCTTCACCCAACAATTTCCACATGTCCATCTGTGCCAGGCCCTGTGCTGGGCACTGAGGACATTGCAGTGCTCTAGGGCTGACCTGGCTCTGCCCTCCTGGGGTTACAGTCAGGTGGGGGAGCCAGACAATGAGTCCTGTGATAGGGAAGCTGAGAGTAGGCACTGTCCCGGGCTGGAGTCAAGAACATCTTCCTGAAAGAGATGAACATCTCAGACCATTCCTTCTTGCTTCTGCCCTCATCTGGTGAACCCTGGCTCATCCTTGAGGTTTCAATTGAGCTGTCTCTTCTTCCAGGAAGCCTTCCCAACTCTTAGGCTGGGGCAGGCCCCCTGACATGGGTGGGTCTAGAACCACTGGCCTTGCCCACTATAATTGCAGCTATGATTTAACATTTACTGGGGACATGAACTGGTCCATGTCTCTGCCTGCAACTGAGGCTCCGGGAGGGCAGGCACCAGGTGTAACTTTCTGCCATGTTCCTTGCCTCCAGTACAGTGGCTGGCGTGTGGCAGCTGTCAGCACATGTTCACTGAGTGAATGCATAGGGAAGGGGACAGCTAAGTGGGGCTGGAACAAGAGAGTCACAGGAAGAGGGAACAGCAGGAGCAAAGGCCTGGAGATGGGACCTGGCAGGATGCCCACGCGGTGCCGCCAGCAGTTCTGTGTTCTGAGTGAGATGAGGCTGGTGAGGTGAGCAGAACAGTTGTGCAGACTGAACAGTGGAGACTCAGACCCAAGGACACTGGGAAGCCAAGGTGGGCCCTTGGGGAGAGAGCCAGGCAGATTCTATCAGGGCTGAAGGCTGGGAAGGGAGGGACAGAGGGGCCTTGGCCTGATGTGACTGGCTTGGCATGCATTGCAGAGCGCGGGAAGACGCTGGTGCAGAAGAAGCCCACCATGTACCCTGAGTGGAAGTCCACGTTCGACGCCCACATCTATGAGGGTCGCGTCATCCAGATCGTGCTGATGCGGGCGGCCGAGGAGCCCATGTCCGAGGTGACGGTGGGCGTGTCAGTGCTGGCTGAGCGCTGCAAGAAGAACAACGGCAAGGCTGAGTTCTGGGTGAGGGGCGTGTGAGCTGCGGTTGTGTATGTGTACGTGTGTGCACTGGGAGTGAGCAGCTGCTCAGTGCAGCCTTGTAGCTGAAACAACTGAGTTCGAACCCCAGCTCTGCAATTTACCATATCCTTGCTTCTCTGAGCCACTTTCCAAATCTGTAAAAAGGAGAAGCTTCTAAAAGACCCTACCTCAGTGTGGGTTGTTCTGATGAAATGAGCAACTGGGTGTAAAGAGCTAATTGTAGAACCTGGCACAGGGTGGGTGCTAACGAGAGCCATCCTTGTTATTGCAACTACTTTTTTCCCTTTTAATTTTGTAAAGGCAGGATGTGCCCATAGTAAAACATCAAACTGAATGTAAGGGTATGTCCAGCCCTCACCACAGGCACCAGGTTCCTTTCTCAGAGGCACCCATTGTTCCCAGTTCTGCTTGGAATCTTTGCTGATATTCCAGCCCAGGAAGGCACTAGGGAACAGCAGTTATGATCTTCAACAGTGAGGAAGTGGGAGAATGGGAAGGCTGGTGGCCCAGGCCCACTACTCACCTGCCAAACTGGGACTCTGCACACACATGTGGCTCTTGTGGTCACAGTGTGCCAGCGTTGGCAGAGCATCCCCTGCCCCCCAGGGTTACATGTGGTCTCCTGTAGCCAAGGTGTCCCCACCGGAAAAGACCTGTGATGATCAGGGACTCTGGTCAGCCTCCAGTGAGGGCTGAAGGGGTTAGGCCAAGAGAGAAGTTGACTCAGGGCTGCACTGACCAGGGCACAGGGTGGGTGTCTCGGCCAGTCAGGCAGAGACGCTTGCTGAGCTCTCACTTCACTACTGCAAGGGACAATGTCAGCCACCAGGCCTGGGTCCTGGGAAGGTGAGGGTCCTGCCCTTAGAACCAGCCAGTCTGTGTGAAGAGACTGGACGTGCAGAACCCCTGACAGACAGAGAAACAGCACGGTGTGAAAGTGTGTGTGTGTCTGTGTCTCCGCAGGTGACACGAGGCCTTTGTTCTAATATCCTTGTTAAGTGGACAGAGGTGTTGAGGGTGGGGAGTTTCCCTTCCCACTCTGTTCCCAGGCCATGTGGCCAGGCTGGGTGTGGGCAGGATCCTTTCACTTCCCCAAATGTAATAATACCCTTGAGT